TTATGTATCCTTGGCTGGCCTGGAGTTCACCATGTAGACCAGGCTGGTCTTGAACTCGGAGATCCAACTGCCTCAGCCTCCCAAGTGCTAGGATTAAAGGTGTGCACTACCACACCTGGCCCAGTATTTCTTTTCTCATGATGTAAAACAATGAAATAATCTCTCTCAATTTTCTGATATGTGAACAGGTAATTTCATTAATTGTTAATGTTTAAGTCCCCCCCCCCCTCTGAGATGGGGGCCTCTGGTAAACTAGATTGGCACTGAACTTGCTGTGTGGTGGAGGATGACTATGAGTTGCTGATCCACAGAGTGCTACATCCAGTTTATTCCATGCTAGGAATGAACTCCAGGCTTCTGGCAAGCTATGCTCCAGCTCAGGATTCTTGGAATAAGAAACAAATCCTTGAGCATTAGTTGGATGAATGAAGGATGAAGACATATGTTACCCTTTCTCCTTGGAATGAGATCGTGAGTGACATACAAACCATGCTACATCTTGTATAGAACACTTGCCCAACTTGCTCTGAGACATTTATTTGTTTGTTTGTTTGTTTTTCGAGACAGGGTTTCTCTGTGTAGCTTTGCACCTTTCCTGGAACACACTCTGTAGCACAGGCTGGCTTCGAACTCACAGAGATCCGCCTGGCTCTGCCTCCCGTGTGCTGGGATTAAAGGTGTGCGCCACCACCGCCCAGCGCTCTTGAGACATTTTTATTCCTGATTGTTTTCTCAACTTTCAGTGGCCATCAGGCTGCTTTTTTTTTCTTTTTTTTTTTCCTTTGAGTTAGGGTTCCTCTGTGTAGCCGTCCTGGAACTCACTGTGTGGACCAGACTGGCAGGAGATGGCCTGCCTCTGCCTCCCAAGTGCTGGGATTAAAGGTGTGTCCCACCATTGCACACTACTGCCAGCTTTCCTCACTTCCCTAACAGGCCTTGTCATTAGTTTCAGGAAACCCAATGGGCGAGAGGTAAGGTAAGACACTTCAAACTAATGGCTTTATAAAGGAGTCCAAACTGTTCATTGTTCGGAAACTAACGATGGGGGAAGGCAGCCTTTCGTTTTGACTAGAATGTGGCTGAAGGTTGAAGAGAAGAGGGAGGGGGCAGACCAGACTTGGGGACTTGGGTGCTATGTTAGTTTGCTGGGGCTACATTTCAGAGTACCACAGGCTGGCTCACCTACCCCACAGAAATTTCTCTCCCACGGTCCTGGTGGCTCCAAGGGCTTTATGAGCATCTCTGCTTGGCATGGAGGTGGCCATCTTCTCCTGGTCCCTTTCCCAGGGTTTTCTCACTGTATGTACCTGATACCAGTCATTGGATCTGGGCCCTGGCCCTTATGACCTTAGTGACTTTCCAGACAGAGTCACATTGGGAATTAGGACGTGTGAATTTGGCAGGGGAAGGGACACAGTTCAGTCTGTAACACGTACCATGTCTCCAGCACTTGCTGAATGGTAGGAATTTGCTAAGTAGTTTAGACATATGGCCTTAAAATAATTCTTACCTGTATAGCACAAATCCTAGTTGGTTTTAATAAAAACCTGGAGCCAGATACAGGGATAAATGCTGAAAGATCAGAAAGACAAGGGAGCAGCCACAGTCACCTCTTACTTCGCCAACTCCTCAGCCAAAAAGGGGGTGAGCTCCTGTCTCCTCCCACCTTATATTCCTCTCTCTGTCCAGCCATGTCACTTCCTGTTTCCTCCTCCCTAGTGCTGGGACTAAAGGTGTGTGCTACCAGTGCCTGGCTTCTATAGTTAACTAGCAGTTAGCTCAGCACTCTGATCTCCAGACAAGCTTTATTTGTTAGAGCACAACAAAATATCACCGCATTACCTTTTGGATGGCCATTGGCTCTTTTGAGAACCTGGGTAATGTTTTCAAATTTTTCAAGAAAAAAAATGTATAAACACTATTTTTCTTTCTTACCAGCACCTTTTTTTTTTTCTTTTCTTTCTTGTTGTCTTATTTAGGAGATTTTGTTAAAACAGAACAGAGAGTTCAAATTACCAGCCTCTGCCCTTTGGGCTGAGTTTCCTGTTTTCTGATTTCATCAATTCAGCCACCTTTCTGTTTAGTGCCCACTAGACACTGGATCAAAATCTGTCACCAGGTTAGCCCTAAGGAATCAAAATTGAGTTTGCTGGAGAACACTGACAGGCTATTTCACTCAGTGAATTCTGATTTTCAAATTTTGGATTCCTAGGGAGGTTTTCCTTCTCTCTCTCTCTCTATATATATATGGGTTTGTGGTGATATATTGTGTACCCTAATAAAATTTGCCCGAAGATCAGAGAACAGAACAAGCCACTAGATTAAACATGGATGCCATACCGTGTTGGCACACACCTTTAATCCTAGCACTTGAGAGGCAGAGATGTGTCTGGATCTCTGAGAGTTCAAAGCCACCCTGGACTACATGAGAGTGACTCAGTCTAGGAGAAAAAGCAGAGCCAGGCAGTGATGGCACACACCTTTAATCCCAATACTTGGGAGTCACACACCTTTAATCCCAATACTTGGGAGTCACACGCCTTTAATCCCAGCACTTGAGATCTCATGCCTTTTCTTGGGAAGCACACATGCCTTTAATCCCAGGAAGTGATGGCTGGTGGAAAAAGGTATAGAAGGCGTGAGGAAACAGGAACTAGAGGCCTTTTTAGGCTGAGGAGTTCTAGAGGTAAGAGGTGTCTGTGGCTTATTCCTTTGCTTCTCTGATCTTCAGACAAATTTTATTAGGGTACACAATGTACCCTATCTCCACAATGGTTGTTTCTGCTTTATATCGGTTTTCATTCGTTCTAAAATGTTTTCTGCCTGTACCATTCACTGAAGCTGTCTTGTGTCAAGGTGGGTAATAAATGATTTCCATCTTACTGAATGGGTGTTTGCTTAGTAGTTAGTCCTCTTCTGTATGATTGAGGTTTCTTCCTGGGAACCCCTTTGGGCTTTCATATACCTCGGTGTTTTCCTTCCAGAGTGGCTGATAATCATTTCCAATTTTTTCCCCCTAGAGACAAGGTCTCCTGTTTTGGTAACCTTCATTGCTGCACCTGATTCTGTAGTTGAGATGTTTAGTATCTGAGGTAGTTTTCTTTGCTTACCATTTATAACAATTTTTGGCCAAATTAATTCTCAGGGTTTTATTTGGACTGTAAATATTCCCTGCTGGACCAACAGTATTATCTGGCCACCTCATAGTTTCATTGCTTGAACTTAGCGATTGCCTTTTAAGTTTACCCACTGTTTTCTGTTTTCCAATGCTGTGGATGGAACCCAGGTTCCTGTCCATGCCAGGCAAGTGATCTAGCAGTGAGCTCCGTCCCTAGCCCCCAGTGTTTTCTTCTCTCTCTGCACCTATTGTTATTTGTTCTCCCCTCCAGCCTCCACAATCTACAGTCACGAGAAATAGCTCCCATATGTTCAGTCCATCGCTTGTTCCCACTGTCCCAGAGCCCCCTTCTTCTCAGCAGCTGCCATTCTGATAATGAATGAGCTGTGCTTTCTCTGTTGCCCTGTCCTGGATCTCAGTCACTGTCTTTCTTGTATAGTCTTCGTTTGTACGCGTGAGCTGTGCTTCTGAAGAAAAGGTGCATGAAAAAGAACGTTTTGTGCTCCATGCTTACAAAGTCTTTTGATTTTCAGCCCTGAGATTTGATCAATATGCTGAGTCGAACGGAGGTTGCAAATTGTTTTTAATCTAGACTTTTAGAAATGAGCCTGTTTTTTCAGCTCCCGGGGCTAATTTTGAGAAGTCCAGTGTGTGCCTTGCCTTGGCTCCT